AGCTTTGTATATGCAAACAGCACCTAGACAGCTGACTTTGTGCAAACAGCACCAAGACAGCTGACTATGTGCAAACAGCACCAAGACAGCTGCCTACATGCAAACAGCACTAAGACAGCTGCCTATATGCAAACAGCACCTAGACAGCTAGCTTTGTATATGCAAACAGCACCTAGATAGCTGACTATGCATGTGAGTACAAGATGGATACAAACATAAAACTTCATGATACATACCCTGGTACCAGGTCCATTTCAACTGCTTTCTTGGCAATGTGAGTGGCTGCCTTCTGAACCCGGGATGGCAACCCAAGATTGGAACAAAAACGAGACTGAAACAGAAAACCAAATTTAATGTTAAAGAGCGATGGTCTTCTCACCATGCATGCCTGAGACATGGAAATCATATAAACTAAGATGGCAGCTTTGACTGTTGTGCAGACCAACGAATACAAACTGAGATGTTACCAAACTTTGACTAGGTAATTTTGTTGGTGATTGGAAAGCATCAAAGTCATCGGCGGCAATTAGAGTATGTTGCGTCCAGATCAAAACACAAACTCAAGATTTATATTACAATAGCGCATCGGATTGTGGGATAATCAATGTTTATCAACAGAAATGTCACACATGCATGGCGCGACGACCATTGCTCTTCAAGCCATGAATAGTTTCTTTTTAAAATGACATTTATACACTGTGCTTGTGTTTCGGTCTTCGAAAAAGTGAAATAAAGAGAAATAAATGACTCACCATAAAATCACCTGTTGTTATGAGATCAACACTAGTTTCCAAGGCTTTAAGAATTTCTTTAAAACATCTCCCAATCTCTTTTTTACTTACTCTAGATATTGCACATATTTCTACAGGAAAACCATAAAGATAAATCATTACATCCCAATTTAATGCTCTTCAGCTTGCAGCACTTCATTTTCTGGTTTTCCAAATCATAATGTAATTTTCAGCATTTCAAACATTTTTATAAATATTCAAAGGTAACACGATATTGAATCAACATGCTTGGTACAAAACTGATGATGATTCAGTAAAATATCTGCATATGACTGCATAGTCCTGCTCTAGAAGTGAATCAACATGCTTGGTACAAAACTGATGATGATTCAGTAAAATATCTGCATGTGACTGTATAGTCCTGCTCTAGAAGTGAATCAACATGCTTGGTACAAAACTGATGATGATTCAGTAAAATATCTGCATATGACTGTATAGTCCTGCTCTAGAAGTGAATCAACATGCTTGGTACAAAACTGATGATGATTCAGTAAAATATCTGCATATGACTGTATAGTCCTGCTCTAGAAGTGAATCAACATGCTTGGTACAAAACTGATGATGATTCAGTAAAATATCTGCATATGACTGTATAGTCCTGCTCTAGAAGTGAATCAACATGCTTGGTACAAAACTGATGATGATTCAGTAAAATATCTGCATATGACTGCATAGTCCTGCTCTAGAAGTGAATCAACATGCTTGGTACAAAACTGATGATGATTCAGTAAAATATCTGCATATGACTGTATAGTCCTGCTCTAGAAGTGAATCAACATGCTTGGTACAAAACTGATGATGATTCAGTAAAATATCTGCATATGACTGTATAGTCCTGCTCTAGAAGTGAATCAACATGCTTGGTACAAAACTGATGATGATTCAGTAAAATATCTGCATATGACTGCATAGTCCTGCTCTAGAAGTGAATCAACATGCTTGGTACAAAACTGATGATGATTCAGTAAAATATCTGCATATGACTGTATAGTCCTGCTCTAGAAGTGAATCAACATGCTTGGTACAAAACTGATGATGATGATTCAGTAAAATATCTGCATATGACTGTATAGTCCTGCTCTAGAAGTAAATCAACATGCTTGGTACAAAACTGATGATGATTCAGTAAAATATCTGCATATGACTGTATAGTCCTGCTCTAGAAGTGAATCAACATGAATCACTCCAATGGAATGAGAGGAGACAAATTCACGTACCTTTGAATGTTCTGGGTACACCTTCTTGACGACACGCTATATAAAGACATGCTGCAGCTATGGCATCATTGCTACGACCTCGTAAAGTCCTCTGTTCATGTACTTGTTTAAATAATGTATTTGTACGATCCTGTAAAAATCAAAGACAGCTTAGAAAGAACTCCCATGAGTATTGAAGGAATATTTAAAAGTGAATTCAAAATTTCATATTAGCCCTTCAAACAAGAAGCTCGGCAACTAATATTTGTCTGGTATTTGTAACACACAGCATGAAAAGAATGTGATTCACATTACAAACAGAGAAGTGTATAGTACTTGGAGAAAATAAATTTGATTGTACAATTGTTGTTTGCAGTCTAATTTATTCAAGATCAGAAATTTGCTAATAATTCGATGATCATTATGCATGTTTTTCAACCTTAAACTAATCATTTCTGTGGATTACTCTAGAGCACCTTACTATGAACCAAATTTTAATGAAATGTGACGACTATGCAAATTAGGCAATTAGTAAATCACTATCGCCACAGATATACTCCTTCGTTTGGTGAATACAAATTTAAAATGAACTGTGTATTTTCAACTGAGATCACAAATGACAAACAAAAATTTAAAATACTTAATGAAAAGTACTAACAAAAATATAATTACAAGTGTTCATACATTTCTCCCTCCTTGCAAAGAATGTAAACAATTTATTCCCAATTTGTTTTTTGCACCATTATTTGTTGTTGGTATTTTATCTTTATTGCTATAAACTGATAGATATATTTCTATTACCGGTATGTCTATTTCTTTTATTATTATTATTATTATTATTATTATTATTATTATTATTATTATTATTACATGTATGTTGAAAATAAATTTTAACCAAAGAATGTTTACATTGTGGATTTTAGTCTAAGCAGATTAAAAGAGTGGTTCATATATCCTTGGTAACCTATGAATCTGACACTATGAATTGTATTTAGAACATACCCAGCTGTAAAGGATTACAAGCAGATAAATGTAATTATGAACACAACAGATGGGTGCATATATACCATATACTGGTCACACTGGTTAATCTTTTCAATCTAAATATCTATTTTCTATTTTTTTGTAATTTAATTTTTGGTTTTATACCAAAATAGTACAATGACCAACTGGCTACAAGCAAAATTATTTGAAAAAAAAAAATATAGTTTTGTGAACAATGACAAGAGTTTACTTTGATGTTCAGTAGTTCAAATGAAAACTGTCAACCTGTGGGCTTGCATGAAATCATACATGATACTTTCTAGAACATTCTCAGTTTGATGACACAATGCATGATGAAGGAGAGTGGTTTACAAAACTAGGGAACAGGCTAAGGTACATTTATTACCACTATGTCATCAAACATAATACCAAGAATTTGTAGTGTGTTCAAATTTATTTTTAAATTCCAGTACTGGTATATTTAGAAACGCCAATTTAAATGCTCAGACAGAAGTACAGTTTTTAAACAGAA